TGCCAATTTAAATATCAAACGAATTCATTAGTTGTCGACCATAGCAATAAATCATCGTCAGATGAAATGGAAATAATTAAAACGATCGTAAGCGAGACTGCCCTCCGTAGACAACGTAAACAAACACTGAAGTTTTATAGCTAAAGGATTTATTATAGCTCACATTACAGCCGGATACTGTTATTACCGGCATGTTTATTTGGCAAACAGCCCTCGGTGCCAGCGGCTGATACGCAACTTCCAATATCAAGACTGGAATGATGCGACAATTATAAATAACGTGTTTATGCGTAAGCCTGCTTTCATAAAAACGACCGTTTACTTAAAATTGCCAAGTGAGTGCTGTGAACGTGCAAGATATGATTTTGCATACCACTTGTAATAATATTTTATTTTATTTTTGACTGCCTAATTTATTTTATTAACATAGTTACAAGTGATTTAAAAAATATCATATAGAATATATTCTGAAATAAATGAAGTGGCGTGCAGATTGTCTCTGATTCTTTTAAAGTTAACTATCCTTAATCTGTCTGTTTGTCTGTACAAACTCTCTCAGAAATGAGGGGAGCCCTGTACCCAACAGTGGGACGTATATAGGTTGTAACTTTACTTTACTTTATCCTTAATATTTCTAGTATTGAAATCAGCCTAGATCGCTTCTTGCAAAGTCCTCTACTTTCTCGTGACAGTTCCATGTGCGTCGGGTGATTGAGTCTGGTTTTGAAACATAAATTAAAGTAACTCAACGAATCTAGTTCACTGATTGAATGATTTGCTTGTATACTATAAGGAATTCTTTATCCAAATATGACGAGAACAATCAAACATTTTGATATGTAGACAAACTTCTCTTTAATTAATCGAATTTTAGGTGTACTGGGTACATACTGGAGTAGCTATGTAAAAGCATATAATATTGTCTATAATACATATGCATGTAAATAGATAACCCAATTCTCATAGATAACTCAATGCAATTCACCAAATTAATGGGTCATTACTTACATTGAACTCTTTGAGTTGAATGGTCTAAGGCCCTACCGTTTTTAATTAATGGCGCGATACACATACATATACACACATACTAATTAAGATGTAGGTTAAGAATAATTAGGCAGCGTTTACATTCGAAGCTCCCTTCCTATGGGCTTCCCGAGAAATTGTGCGATTGGATCACCAGCTTTCTTGCAGATCGGGGCATCAAGGTCGTTGTAGACGGTGCAAGCTCCGATTGCAAGCCTAATAATACTGGTGTTCCACAAGGCTGCGTGCTATCGCCAACGCTGTTTCTTCTGCATATCAATGATATGTTAGCAAACCTGCAACATTCATTGCTATGCAGATGACAGCACTGGTGATGCTGTTTACACCGGCCGAGCCAATATTTCTCGGGAAAACGTCTCCGAGTGCCGGGACAAACGTGTGTCTGAAATCGAGTCTTTGCCTAACAGAGTCTCGGATTGGGGGCGACTAAATCTAGTCCAGTTTAACCCCCAGAAGACACAAGTTTGCGCGTTAACCGCTAAAAAGAACCCCTTTGTCGTATCTCCTCAGTTTCAAGGCACTCCCCTTGTTGTCTCAACCAGTATCGGAATCCTCGGCGTCGACATATCGAGTGACGTGCAGTTTCGTGGTCACTTGGAAAAGAAGGTCAAATTGGCCTCTAAAAAGCTTGGCGTGCTCAGCAGAGCGGGACAGTATTTCATGCCGGCATACCGCCTGCAACTTTACAAGGCGCAGGTTCGGCCGCACATGGAATACTGTTCCCATCTCTGGGCTGGGGCTCCCCAGTACCAGCTCCTTCCACATGACCGCATCCAGCGCAGAGCGGCTCGAATCGTCGACGACCGAGTGCTTTCCGATCGGCTCGATTCACTGGCACTGCGAAGAGATGTTGCATCTCTTTGCATTTTCTTTCGCATATACCATGGAGAGTGCTCTGAGGAATTGTTCGGATTAATCCCAGCCGCCAAATTTCGTAAACGCACTACGCGGAAAACGTCCCGATACCATCCACACCATCTGGATGCTTGGCGGTCCACCACTGTACGTTTCAAGAGGAGTTTTCTTCCGCGTACAACCTCTCTGTGGAATAGTTTACCAACAGCGATTTTTCCGGACCGATACGACCTGGGGACTTTCAAGAAAAGAGCGTACTCCTTTCTAAAGGGCCGGCAACGCACCTGCAATTCCCCTGGTGTTGCGGTTAATCATGGGCGGCGGTAGTCACTTAACATCAGGTGAGCCGCAAAAAAAAAAACATTGGAAAAATGGGGGTGCCTTCAATTACGTTAAAGCTATTTATTTTTTATTTTAAAATGTGTTAACCTTATATACTTAAGGAAATAAAATTGTTTCGTAGAGATGTTTTATGTATATTCGTCTTATTATTTACTTATTAAAAATTGCAAAAGGACAACAATCAGACCCAGAGTTTGTAGGCTACTTAATTCAAATTTCTAGAGATGTTACGGAGGTTCGATTCCGAAAGTTCGGAACTTCCGATTGATTTTGCACCTTCGATTCCGATTTTTTTTTATTTCCAAAAAAATTTAATCGGAAATTATATCGGAGCTCGATGGATAGCGGCGCGGCGGTGGCGGCCGTTATCAGCGCATTTATTTTTTAATAGAATAAGGGTGACAAACAATTTTTACCGAATATATTTTTGATGAATAATGTGTGCAATTTTATTTTATTAGACGTGCCCTTAACACATACCTATCTCTTCTGGCTTCACCTCCGATTCCGGTTCCGGTTCCGACAAACCAAACTTAAATACTCTGCTTCCAAATTCGGTTTCGATATACCTAGGTGGATTGAAAAGTACTCGGCCTAACACAGATCCATTCAATTCTAAAAATCAAATCTACCCACATTATTTAGTTCAGTTCAGACTAGTTCATTGTGTGAAGTTCGAAACGTGTGCGATAATTAGTTGTGATTTTATAAATTTATTAACAAAGTAATCGGACATAATTTCCGCGAATGGAGCAAATCGAGCAGCGTGCCGTCATTAAGTACCTCCATAAGAAGGGGCTATCATCAAAAGCCATCCATGATAACATGGTCAGTACATTAGGCGATTGTGCTCTGTCATATTCATCCGTCAAAAAATGGATAGCAGAATTTAAACGTGGTAGAGAGAGTGTGAAAGATGAACCCCCGCTCTGGAAGGCCTTCGACGTCAACTACTGACGAAAATATTAAAAAAGTACTTGATTTAATAATGGTAGACCGCAGATTAAAAATTAGAGAGATAGCCGACATTATAGGCATCTCTTATGAACGAACGCAAAACATCATTGTCAACGAGTTGGGTTTCCACAAGGTGTCTGCGAGGTGGGTTCCGCGACTGCTTTCAGTTGAACAAAAAAGGAAGCGATTGACTATTTCACGCGACTGTTTGGAGTTATTTGAAGCCGATGCAGATGATTTTTTGAATCGTTTTGTTACTATGGACGAAACATGGGTTCATTACTGTACACCGGAAACAAAACAACAATCAAAACAGTGGAGAAGACCTGGTTCACCACCCCTAAAAAGGCTAAGTCGATTTTGTCGGCAAACAAGGTGATGGCTTCAGTATTCTGGGACTCGAAAGGTGTGATTATGATTGATTATCTAGAAAGGGGTCAGACTATAAACTCTGATTACTACTGCACCTTACTACGTCGTTTACGAGAGGAAATAAAAGAAAAACGTCGAGGAATGCTCAGAAGAAAAGTCCTGTTTCATCAAGATAACGCCCGTGTTCACACGTCAGTACAGTCAATGGCTGAAATTCACAACTGTGGCTTTGAACTGTTACCGCATCCGCCGTATTCACCTGATCTGGCACCATCAGACTTCTTTCTGTTCCCTAACCTAAAAAAACACTTGAGAGGTCAAAGATTTTCGGCAAACGACGAGGTCAAAGCAGCTGTAGACGCATATTTTGACTCTAAGGAAGAATAATTTTTTTTCAACGGTCTAAATGCTTGGAAGGGGAGGTGGCAAAAGTGTATTGAACTTGATGGTGATTATGTAGAAAAATAAAAATATAACTGATTTAGTATGTGTCTATTTTCTTGTTTAGGCCGAGTACTTTTCAATCCACCCTCGTAACCACTTCCGTAATATCCCTAAATAATTGTTCCTTGCAGTAATTGAACTCGCGATTCGAAATGCCGCGCCGCACCGCGGCCCAAATAAACACACTCGTTGCGCTATCGAGCTACTAATTTTTCGTTTGTCTAATAGTACGTGTGGGAAGCCTTTGTTCAGCAGTGGACTTTTATAGGTTGTTATAGATAGATGAACGGATGGAATTATCTTAGAAATATAAAGCATTTTCATTAGTTTAATAACGAATTCCAACGGAAACTGTAAATTGTATTTAGCACTTGAAAGTTGAAAGTACCTTTTGCGTAAGTTCACACAGATAACTTTTCTCGAGGCGCATTATATGAGTTTTATGTAAAAGTAAAAGGGTAAACAGCCTCCACGATATTGGAGAAATTCTTAGTGCGTGCGTAATTTTTCTTTGAAAAAAAAATGTTTAGCCATAATATTGTTGCGCGCCTAAGTTGAGCTGGCACCTGGCACTAACGCCATCTAGTGTCAGATAACAGAGCGAGGAGAGCTTTCCAGAAAATGCCATGACTAATCTTTCAACCAACAGCGCCATCTAGTATCGAATTGAAGAACTATGCTTTCTAGAAGTCCCACACTCAATCTTTCTGCGCCTGGTCGGTCGGAGCCCCTTATTTACTGGAATATTCTGGATGTTTTCGTGGAAGAGCCCTATATAAAGCCGTTGATAGCCGTGATGGGGGCAGTATTGAATTTGGCGAGACAAGCGAAGCTTCGGAGCGAAATAAAGTGAATCAGTGTGAGTTTTAATTGGTGTTCGGTTCAGTAATAAAAGTGTAAATTTTGGTAATTCAATCGGCAGGTTTTATTGTCACGAACCTCAAGCTCGTAACAATATGTTACATACGAGCCAAAAAGCTCACCTTTATGAACGGCGTCGAACCGGCTCTCGACTTTGGAGCGAAGCGTTTCCAAGTCGACCGGCGCAGCCAAGCCATGGTCCACGGACCGACTCTTCGACCTGTAACATACCAATTATTAATTCAACATTTATGATTAAACTGGCCTCGTGGAGACGGCATAAGAGAATAATATGGGAAATGTAATAAAAAATCTAATGACGTTAAAAGTTACAACATATATACGTCCTACTGCTTAGCACAGCCCTTTCATTTCTGAGAGGGTTTTAAAGCGTACCCGGTTTGCTCGCGGACTGTGAAATTCACAGCCCCTGAGCTACCAGGCTCCAATAGATGACTGTATAATAATCTCATTTACGCCGCGTTTGTATGTAAAATACTCAGATCGGAGACGGGCAGCGGTGTCTAAGGTTCAAGAAAGGTGCCAAGCAATCCGCATACCAAGCGTGATGCTTGAGGAAAACCATCAGTGCAACGGCAAAAGCCTATTTCCATCATCAGTAGAAAGAAAAGAAGTTCTTTAACGAGCCGATGATGTAGAAGGAGAAATAAAATGTGTTTGATCTTTTTAAAATTGGACTTTAAATTTTATGTCTTTTAAAGGACACAATTATAATTTCGGGAATGGTTTTAAGAAAATATTAATTGAAATAACCTCAATGCAGTATTTGATAAATTTCAGAGACATCCAAGATTCAGTGATAGTTTCATTGGTTATGAGCCAAGAATGGTACAAACAAACTAGTAGGGATCTTGCATGTCATAAAATCAATACTTAAAGACGCAGTAAACAAATGTATCTGCGAAACAGTTGCTTGACCTGTCGTGACTACAGAATACGTTGCGCAGTCAATTGCAGCGTCAGTGTACTGTTAATTGCTCGATACTAAAAACAAATGCTCTAAATACCTTCGGATGAGTACACCTAATATATTCCACACGGAAAATCCATTTCAATAACTTTCAAAGACAAATCGCGATGAAATTATTTATTAATAAGACTTTTCGGGAAAAGAATAGTCATAATATTCAATAAAATATAATTAAAGTCTGACGGATGGAATCACAATTGAGGTGTATATATTGACTTAATATTGGTATAAAAATCTTTTAAAACTTTTTCCTGTGTTCATGTTCAAACCGCGTAATTTAATGTATGGACATACTGGTAACTCCCAAATCTCTAAATAATCTCTAAATAGTTTGTTTTAGACATGCTTGATCCCACACTCATGAAAGTCATCATAACTGGCGAGAAATAAAGGTCTATGGAATTTGACTTGCAAACGAGTAACAATCATCATTAGATGGAAAACAAAATGAAGCCAAAACAGAAAAAAACATACCAAAATGGTCAAGATGATTCTCATGTTTTCTTCGGGATTCCATCGTGAATTCGTTCTAGAAAGACATACTATCAATAAAAACTAGTCAGGCCATAAATAATGTTACTTAATTGAATTTTTGAATGCGTATATTATTTAAAAAAACTTCGGCCGATTTGCCGCTAAATCACATAATATTATTTTTCACTGTGATCGTTAAAATAGATGGAGTGGGGAATAAAGGAATATACATTGCAGTGATTGCTTTGAAAAGTGGGTATGGAACAGTCAGTCATTTGAAAACTTTTTAAAAAACTAGCCTTAAGTTTGCGTATCGCGCATACAGTGTTGTTAGGACCAGACGGGCTGTGCACGTTGTCGAAGGCAGAAATTGGCGGAACGTAAGGAAGTTAAATAAAGATTCCCGCTAGGATCCTGTCACATATAAATTATAAAAAAATATATATATATATCTTTATATATATATATATACTCACGCCTGTCAGACAGAGGGGTAGGCAGAGACTACGGACTTCCATTTGGCACGATCCTGACATACCTCTTTCGCCTCCTTTACATCCATATATCTACGCATACATTCTCGTCGGTTAAGGGTACTTCTAACTTGGCCCATTTTCAAAATATCGCCAATTTGGTCGATAAACTTTTTTCTAGGGCGTCCCTTCCGAACTCGGCCATTCACATTTGCCATATAAATTTGCTTTGTCACTCTTTCCTCATTCATTCTTTCTACATGACCAAACCACCGAAGCATTCCTTTCTTAATCCTGGTCACAACATTTATCTCTTATCACGCAATTTCTCACCCTGTCATTCAAATTCAACCCTAGTATATTCCTTATAGACCGCATTTCTACAGCATTTATTCTACTTTCGTGCTTCTTCTGCCACACCCAGCTTTCACTACCATACATTAAAGTAGGGACTAACACAGCATTATGAATTACCATACGTGCCGTTTTTGATACATTCTGGTTCTTCATAATAGAGTGTAGTGCCCCATTCACTTTCCCAGCATTTACTCGTCGTTCTATATCCTTATCACATCTACCATCCCTGCTAAATACACATCCCAAATACACAAACTCATCCACTTGCTCAATTAACTCTCCTTCTATTCTTATTTCACATACCGTTTTGCTTTCTTCTCTTTCAAAAACCATCACTTTTGTCTTACTTGCGTTCACTTTCATTCCCCTTTCTTTTAATTTCCAGTTCATTAATCTAACCATCATTTGCAACTCAGCCGCCGATGACGCAAATATGACTTGATCATCGGCATACAGAAGGCATTTGATGGTTAACTCGCCCATTCTTAACCCACATTCTTCATCTTTCAAAGTTTGCAAACACCTGTCCATAAATAGGTTGAACAGCCAAGGGGAAGCTACACAGCCCTGTCTGACACCTTTTTGGATGCCAAACCAGTCCGAGTAGACCCCATTGATCCTGACACAAGCACTAGAGTTCCTATAAAGAGACCTTAATGCCTGTATCAAACCAGCGCTCAACCCATATGAGTTCAGTGTTTGCCATAAAACATTCCTGTTCACTCTGTCATAAGCCTTTTCCAAGTCCATGAACGCACAAAAAACTTTCTGGTTTTTGGCCAAAAACTTCTCCGCAATCATGCGCATGGAAAAGACTTGATCTGTACACCCCATTCCCTTTCTAAAACCCGCTTGCACAACAAATTATAATATAAGGCCTAAAGGGTGCTGAACATTGACACACATGACATGCCATATATCAGTCCCTACAAATATACAAAGAAGTTTTATTGTTACCACAGTGTTTCTTTAATAAAAATAATTTGTATCTTAATTATATACAACAGAACTTATGGCCATACTAGGTATATCCCTCAGAACATTTAAAATTGTGGAACAACAACAATATTGCATGAAGACAATGCAACATGGCTTATATCAGAAATTGACTTTCAAATTTTTTCGAATTTAGTATTATTTAATGCAACAAATACTCCGTTTATTTTTTTGTCCCTTAAACTTTTATTGTTCATTTGTGATACCCATTTTGAGTGGGTCGAGTCCATAAAATAGTACAAGGAGGAGAATTCTATTACCGGTAAACGCATATTAAAAGTATATGAAATATATGAGTATAAGTATATGAGTACATGAAGAGATGTTGGCGTATCACATGTGTTGCGTCAATTGGGACCTACTTTGAAAGCGGCTAAACAAATATTGATGACTGAACGAAAATTGCGTAGGATATTTAACAACGCACGGTGTTGTTTTGAGAGAGCTGTAATATTACAGTTTATTAATAGAACATAGATATAGAACTTATTTTTATTAATAAAATATTTAAGACTATTAGAACAAAATATAAATCTAAGTTTATCTAAACTTATTATGTTCCGTGAGTATTGTAAGAGGCGACTAGGGTAACGTTATAAAGCATCCCTTAGGTATCTATATATCAGATGTACGATACCCAGACTAGCGACAGAGAGCACTGTCAAAGATACAAGATATCTGGTGCTGTGAGGACCTACAGTGTCGTGATGAATTCAAATCTTTCGTACAATGGAAGAGGCTCACGTCCAGCTGTGGGCTGTATGAGGTTGATAAAGAAAAATATTTAAATAGTGATAAACAATAAATTAAGTAACAAACTTGTAATTAAAAAAAAAAACAACGCCAAACAACTAAGTTACACTGACCCTCTAAAATTGCGCTCTAATCACTACAAACATGACAAATTTAAGAACAAGTTTACTTTTTTATATCAAACACATAATTATATACTTTCTAAGATTCCACATGTGGAGACTGGCTTTCGAAGCCTCGTTCCGAAAGCAGATAATTTAAAGAAATTTCGGTGAAAGTTGTTACCTCTTGTAAGAGTGATCGATGCTCTCAGCACTCCTCGACAGCTGCTGCGAAGCGCGTCTAGACCTGCATGCAACAGAGATAACGAGCTAGATACAGGCAATGCATGCAAACATCTAAATAATCTTACGCAGACAATTTCGCTATTACGCCCTGAAAGCATCTACAATTGTGCCCAGAAAAATTGCAAATTTTAAATTATATGTATACACTGAAGTAATTGAGATAAAATTACAAGCTGTTTCGGTTTCGGCGCATTTAAAATTCTCTGAGTAAGATATGAAATATGAGCGGTTTCGCACTGGTAACGTGCGTCAAATTTTCTGTAATCAAAACGTATTAAAACAAATTTACAAATGCGAAAACCCACATAAATATTATAGCTGGCAATACAAATTATAGCTAGGTGCTAAAAACAAATAAATAAAACTAAAACGCATACAAAAAAAATATTTTATGTTGCGAGTCAATGGTAAATGACGAAATAATGTACATGCGCATAGCGACTAAAGATGAGAATATATAGTGAATGGTCGGTACGCGAGGTAACTTTCACGTGGAACAATGTGCTTCGTCCTCACTGTGAATAATGATGTTCATTTGAAAGCTCTGTCTGGAGTAGTGAAATACAACCTTCGCAATGAACTTGCTCTCCACAAATACTGTGTAATGGCTCGTAACTTGAGCACAGAATCTATACTATTTTTTTTTTATAGAAGAGGGGGCAAACGAGCATGCGGCTCATCTGATGTTAAGTGACTACCGCCGCCCATGATCAACCGCAACACCAGGGGAATTGCAGGTGCGTTGTCGACCCTTTAGAAAGGAGTAAGCTCTTTTCTTGAAGGTCCCCAGGTCGTATCGGTCCGGAAAAATCGCCGGTGGTAAACTATTCCACAGAGAGGTTGTACGCGGAAGAAAACTCCTCTTGAAACGTACAGTGGTGGACCGCCAAGCATCGAGATGGTGTGAATGGTATCGGGACGATTGCCGCGTAGTGCGTTCACGAAATTTGGCGGCTGGGATTAATCCGAACAATTCCTCAGAGCACTCTCCATGGTATATACGAAAGAAAATGCAGAGATGCAACATCTCTTCGCAGTGCCAGTGAATCGAGCTGATCGGAAAGCACTCGGTCGTCGACGATTCGAACCGCTCTGCGCTGGATGCGGTCAAGTAGAAGGAGCTGGTACTGGGGAGCCCCAGCCCAGAGATGGGAACATTATTCCATGTGCGGCCGAACCTGCGCCTTGTAAAGTTGCAGGCGGTTTGCCGGCATGAAATACTGTCCCGCTCTGCTGAGCACACCAAGCTTTTTAGAGGCCAATTTTGCCTTCTCTTCCAAGTGACCACGAAACTGCACGTCACTCGATATGTCGACGCCGAGGATTCCGATACTGGCTGAGGCAACAAGGGGAGTGCCTTGAAACTGAGGAGATACGACAAAGGGGTTCTTTTTAGCGGTTAACGCGCAAACTTGTGTCTTCTGGGGGTTAAACTGGACTAGATTTAGTCGCCCCCAATCCGAGACTCTGTTCAGCAAAGACTCGACTTCAGACACAAGTTTGTCCCGGCACTCGGAGACGTTTTACCGAGAAATATTGGCTCGGCCGGTGTAAAGAGCATCACCAGTGCTGTCATCTGCGTAGCAATGAATGTTACCAGTTTGCAACATATCATTGATATGCAGAAGAAACAGCGTTGGCGATAGCACGCAGCCTTGTGTAACACCAGCATTAATAGGCTTGCAATCGGAGCTTGCACTGTCTACAACGACCTTGATGCTCCGATCTGCAAGAAAGCTGGTGATCCGATCGCACAATTTCTCGGGAAGCCCATAGGAAGGGAGCTTCGAAAGAAGCGCTTTGTGCCAAACCGGAACGAAGGCCTTCGCAATGTCCAAACTAACGGCCAATGCCTGCCCCTTGGACTCTACTGCCTCCGCCCATCTGTGAGTTATGTAGACCAGAAGATCACCAGCTGACCGATCACGGCGAAAACCGTATTGGCGGTCACTAATCAGCTGATGATCCTCAAGGTACCTCATGAGCTGGCAGTTTACAATGGACTCCATTGTTTTGGAGAACAAGGAGGTGATGGCTATAGGCCGGTAGTTGGACGGGTCTGAGCGGTCGCCTTTTTTTACGGATCGGGTGGACGAAAGCCGTCTTCCATGATTTTGGGACTACGCCTAGGGAGTAGGAGTACCGGAAAAGACGCGTTAAAACCGGTGCCAACTCTGGAGCACACGTCCTCAGCACAATTGGGGGGATTCCGTCAGGCCCACTCGATTTGTGGATGTCCAGGGATAGGAGTGCTTTGCGTAGTACTAATTACTGATGCAGATGCAACTATAAAAACTTATATAGGATTTTGCTTTTAAAATTATATTTTCTTTTTAAATGATATTCTAAATAATTGAAAGTGGTAAATTGCTAAAATAATAACATGTTTAACATCCATAGGTATTTTGGTACAGCACCTTATAAGTATAAAGAATTTTAATTTTTATAATAAGGGAAATGTTTGAGATTGCAGTTAAACGAACTTTGTATTAACGTAGTAGCGTTTAATATCAGTGGTTTTTATTATTATTTCTTGCTGAACACTACGACGAATGGAAGCCCGCGTACCCATTATAGCCGAAACGATCAATAAAATATAAAATTATATTTTCTGCGTTTATCAACTTCTCAACAATTTTGATGATAATGAAAATCATGTCGATTATTTTAGTGCTATGGGAAAAACGTGTACTTTTTTCTTTGTACAAATTACATAAGATTTATGATTTGATGATTCGTGCGAGCTTTAGTCTAAGTCATCTTCGAGGTTTATTAATGAGTGGAAATTGTAGTTTTTGGGTAGTTTCTTACTTTAAGTCAAGAAATTGCTCTTACCCTTATTTAATCAAGAGAGTACCATTTCAGGCAACCACACGTGTCCCAGGGAGATGGAAAGGTACGCGCATCACTAATTGGAAAGCACTGGTTTATAACATTCCATTACGTTCTTGTATTTCTAAATTGTTTTTTTATTTTATTTATGAGAAATGAACTATAAGCTAAAAGTATTTTTTATTATCTTGCCAACTGACAAGAATAGTTAACAACCTTCTTAAATTAGTCCCACAATATCCCCATTTATCACTCTCTAATGGCGTCAACGGAAAAAAAACAATTGATTGTTTACGCGATAACTGTCACATCTTCCATCGTCCTAATTTACGTGGTAGCCATTGTGTATCTATAATTGTTTACACTGGAGCATATTAACGTCAAACAGAGTGATTGATAGAAGATAGTTAAGGCGAAAGAGGAAGGATACACCGACGCTAAATTATAACTTACACAATTAGTATAATAAAACAGTTGAGAACAATACTCAGTAAACATTTAGTTTATTGATTAAACATAATTTGTTTTATATATATATTAAAATTAATATATATATTGCTAAGATAACAAGATGAGATGACACGAGAGAAATGCGATTATGATAAATCATTCAAAACATTTCTTAATTCTGATGTGGAGCATTCATCGTGCACAAATATACATCTTTAATCAATTTTAATTATGTGGTCCCTTAGGCCTCATTCACACGAGAGCTAAAAAACCGTTGCGTCAAAACTCGGCGTTGGCGCTTTTAAAACGTTTACGATGTGATTGTTCATACGAACGCTTTAAAATCACTCTTGTCTCGGCTTTCGCTTCATAAGATGTGAAAATGGTTTCTACTAAATTACTAGCAATGGCAATTTGTGCTGCTAGAAGGCGAAAAAAAAGCAAAAGGCATTCTGGGTACATCCTCTGAATGAACAGAAATACTTAAAAGGACAGTTTGTGACAATATACGAAGAGTTGAGGCAATACCCGGCTAAATTTTTCAATTATATTCGAATGTCTATAACAACATTTGACGAATTGTTGGAAATAGTGATGCCTCAAATAACACTTCAAGATAGCAATGGTAGAATATAACCATCAAACATTCTTTATAATTTTATTTGAGTATTCTGGCAATGTCTTTGCATATAGAAATGGCCGAGCCTCCACCTCTATTATAAGCACTTCAGGATCTACAACCCACGACATCGTATCGAAGTTCTAATGACGTAAACACAAACCAAACGTCCGACTGCTGAGTGAGGGCGCGGCGCACTGACTGAATGCAGCGCCGGCGCTTTTTTAGCGCCCGTGTGAATAATAATAAGAAGTTTCATATGATCTATTCCTTTTAACGCCCAACGCCCAGCGTTGAAAATACAACACAGCTCGATAAAAAAAAACCGGCCAAGAGCGTGTCGGGCCACGCTCAGTGTAGGGTTCCGTAGTTTCCCGTCCGTCACAATAAGTGTTCCCACTTATGAGTTTAAAGGTGGGTATCCATTATGTTCGCGCTCCAGCAGCGCTCCGTGCTGCTGTAACTTTTCCCAGTAGTGGGTACTGTTGTTTCCATCCAAGTTCAAAATGATTTTCCTAGAAAGTCTAAAGTTCTACTTTTCAGATTTTTTTCATATTTTCTAAACTTATGGTTCAAAAGTTAGAGGGGGGGGGGACACATTGTTTTTTACTTTTGGAGCGATTATTTCCGAAATTATTGACATTATCAAAAAAATGATTTTAGTAAACCCCTATTCATTTTTAAATACCTTTCCAACAATATATCACACGTTAGGGTTGAAATTAAAAAAAAATCACTTCCCACTTTACATATAGGGGGGCTACCCTAATAAAACATTTTTTTCCAATTTTTATTTTACCACTTTGTCGGCGTGATTGATACACATATTAGTAACAAATTTCAGCTTTCTAGTGCTAACGGTCACAGATTATTAAGCGAGGATGGACAGGACAGACGGACACGACAGACATGGCCAAACTATAAGGGTTCCTAGTTGACTACGGAACCCTAAAAAGCGTCGCGTTTTAAAAGCGCTTACGTGTGAACATATACTTGGGAATGCATTTGTTCTATTTGAACGCTTTTTTAACGGACGTTAAAAAAACTCTCGTGCAAATGAGGCCTTATTGTTTCTATTCAAAAACTAAATCTAATTATCA